CAGGATGATGTGACCCTTTTGTGGGTATTTATAGAGATCTGAGGGGGGGGGAAGGGGGGGTTGGGGAGGTTGGGTTACTGAGTGGCTGCTTGTTTTGGTGTCAGAATCTGTGTGTAACAAAACAAAACTTCCAGAACACGGCCACACAGCCCGGAAGACCCACACCAGCCACAGCAGGAAAAAGAGTTAAATACTGAAATAGCTAACACTGAATTTTTAACTCTGATGTGAATCCAACAATCAATTGTGATCAATAGATGCAGTAGCCCCAAAACCAAAATGCAGATCTAGAATTAGAGTGCTGGAAGGTGTCAGTAGGCCACTGATTCCTATCAGCATCTCACCATATGAAAATTTAAAAAATCTAAATGCAGTATATTATTCACTTTTAAGATTCCCTATCCGGTATTCTGAATTAAGATGAAATACAAGGAAGTTTACACTGCAAGTCACTTGTAATGAAATACAATAAAGAACTTGTCTTGCCACTTTCCAGTCCAATAATTTTATTTGCATCTGTTTTCACAGTTCTTACAGCTTTACCCAAACTTAACTTTACCAGCTGCTTGACCTAATGCCTTTGAGTTTTTGGCCACCCTGTAGAACAATCTTTTCTCTATAAGTCAACTGGAGATATAGTAAGACACAGTCAAAAGCATTTGACAGACACAAGAAAAAAATAAATTTCCACATGACTTAAAACAACTACTGTATTCTTTTTCAATTTATTTCTCACATAATTTGAAAGTGAATTAAAGCAGAATAACTGAATTAACAATCTACGAAACAGGGGTCCCTAAATTCTAATATTCTTTCATTACTCATTTTCCATTTCAAAGATCAACGATCAAAAAACTAGTATCTATACAACCTTTGTGGAGCATAAAGCAACGCAAATATCATCTGATAATCCCCGTACTATTATAAAATACACAGAAGAACTATACAAGAAAGATCTTAATGTCCCTGATGTCCATGCTGGTGTGGTCCATGCTCACTGACCTTGAGCCAGACATCCTAAAGAGTGAAGTCAAGTGGGCCTTAGGAAGCATTACTAGCAACAAAGCTAGTGGAGATGACAGTATTCCAGCTGAGTTATTTAAAATACTAAAAGATGATGCTGTTAAAGTGCTGCACTCAATATGACAGCAAGTATGGAAAACGCAACAGTGGGCACAGGATTGGAACAGGTCAGTTTACATTCCAATTCCAAAGAAGGGCAATGCCAAAGAATGCTCAAACTATCGCACAACTGCATTCATTTCACATGCTAGCAA